TAGATTCGTTTAAAAAAACTGTTCGTTCATAAACGAAACACCGCTGTGTTTGAATGGAGATGCGCAGCGGCTGAGCTGTGACTTTGTTTTTAAACTATTTTCGAAATATTTCGAAATACAACGAAATAGAGCAAAATCAGACAATAGTGTTATAGTCAGACAATGTAAGTCACTTAATATTAGCTTCTTGTTTATTGAATTGTATTGTATTAAATCCGTTATCACATTTACAAACTCCCTTAAAAATCATTAAAAGCGGTCACTCATCTTAGTTCATTGCGAGCTCACATTTATAATCAACGAAGCTCTCTACACTGCGCAATGAATCTCTTATTTACACCCTGTCTACACTTTGCTTATGAAAGGATTCGTGAGATATGTCTGTGATACATTACTTAACGCTGCAAAAACACGTAGAAAGCTTTGAAGCTCCCCTGAGCGCAATCACAAGTATGATGATGATCGGGTCAGTCGCACTGGTGCTCCTAAAAAAAATGTCATAGTCGCACGCAGTAGTTTTCAGTCGCAAATGCGACTGAAATGGTCGCACTGTCGAGCCCTGCTTTAAAGGGTCTCTTATGGCTGAAGTATACAACAGTATTGTTTAACCTAGTTCTGATTGGATCTCTTAGCTAGGAGAAGTGTGTGTAAGGGTTTGGTTTTCTTCCTTAGAGTCCCACCCTTGAGTATGTATGTGTGTGGACCTGAGTCAGAAGAAAATGAACCCAATAAATCACACTGTCCTCTCTCCTCCCTGCCTTACACACATACACGCATGCATCCAAACCTTAGAAACACCCTCATATGTGCTCTGACCTTTTTTCTCCCAGCCATTTCATTCTGCAGCCAGTCAAGAACGCCATATGAACACTTCCAGTCTAATACCCACAGCGTCTTTCTTCACAGCTACTGCCATAATAGCCTATTGGATTGATACAATCACATGTTCGAAACCATAGTAGTAATCTTCATGTTTGTACTGTCGCTTTGGCTGTAATGTTGCACAACTTCTCTATAGCTATATGCGTTCAGCTCCTTTTGAGCAAAACTTTTTCCACACATCTGTCTCTTTGCATTCACATGTATCTGTTTGTTTGTGCGCTGTGTGTGTGGTGTATGATGCATACTGCATCGTGGGTGGGATCTCTCTTGGACACACACTGAAAGATTAATGGTGCTCCAGAAGCAAATGTCAGATGGTGTGGCTTAGAATAAGCATCAACACATGCTTTTATGCCCACACCCTGACAATAAAACCACCTCTAGTCCCACACATTCACTGTGGTCATGCCCACTGTAGCCTCTTTGATCATCAAAACTTTGAGCCACTATTTGTATCAGTAAGAATCTTTTGGGGGCTTTTTGATGGCACTCATTAGCCGCTTTTCCACTGTCGGGCCAGTGCGAGCCAGTGCTTTAAGTAAAATAAGTCACTGGAACTGGCGCGATCACAAAACGAACATGATAAAAGCGGCCATTTGTTTGCATGCTTTCTTAAGGATTTAAATCCAAAAGCATCGATGTTTTACAATAATGTTTTTTTTAATTTATCAGGATTGAAAAAGTCACACAGAAATAAAGCGGAATGAACATAGCCTACTCAGTCGAGTCTGTTTCTGTTATTTGTAGTCACAGTATATACATCACATTTAGAAAGAATTTCTATATTTTTATAAAAGCTCCCGAACAAAAAACATTATTATATTTTTATGACATATGCGGAGCTAAACTCTCGAGACGAGACTTATGACAGATAAAATATGTAACTAAATAAATACACAATTGTGATGGAGAATAAGAAGCTGACGTCTGATTTCTTCAAGCGCTCGTATTTACCATGTTTACTATGGTAACGTTAATGGCTAGCACAGGGGTGCCCAAACTCTGTCCTGAAGGGCCGGTGTCCTGCAGAGTTTTGCTCCAACTTGCCTCAACACACCTGCCTTTAAGTTTCTAGTATGCCTAGTAAGAGCTTGATTAGCTGGTTCAGGTGTGTTTAATTGGGGTTGGAGCTAAACTCTTCAGGACACCGGCCCTCCAGGACCGAGTTTGGACACCACTGGGCTAGCGTGCATAGTCTTTTGCATCGCTTATAAATATTTCTGCCTTGTATGGTGATCATAATCCACATCGGATCAAGTTATTTCAAACACTCACTGCTGTCTGAAAGTGAGTTTTGAACTAAAATTATTTTAAAAGTCTTTAATGCTGGTGCTATCTGTTAACTTTATGAAATGATCCACGGCGCTGACACTCTCGAGATGCTGAGAAACTCCGCCTTTGTTCATAACAACTCCTTTAGCCCTAGCTGGCCCGCTTTGGCCCAAGGTTTTCGTCGGGCCAAAAAAACAGGGCCGTTGGCCCCGAGGACCGACAGTGGAAACGCGGCTATTGACTGACCTCAGAGAGCTTTGCAAATGCCTTAAAATTGCCTTTGAGTGATACCACTTTTCGTGGTACAAATTATGTTTAGCAAATGTTAAAAAATAGCTCTTGTTTTTTCACAAGGAATTTTGAGTGTTTTGGGTGTAACTTACCTTTAGTAACATTTTACAGTTTGTAACATTTATACACTACTGGTCAAAAGTTTGGAATAATTTAGATTTGTAATGTTTTTAAAAGAAGATTATACTCAAGGCTGTATTTATTTGAGAAAAATAACTGATAAAATCGATCATTTGAAAAATAAAAAATTAATGATTGAGCAGGAAATCATCATATTAGAATAATTTCTGAAGGATAATGTGACATTTAAGACCACTGAAAATTCTGCTTTGCATCACAGGAATACATTCCATTTTAAAATGAGTTATTAGAAAAGTTATTTGATTGTAAATTGTAATAATATTTCACAATATTACTCTTTTTATTAATTTTAATTTTATTAATTTTTTTTACTGTATTTTCGTCAAATACATGCAGCCTTGGTGAGCATAGCAGACTTCATTCAAAAACATAAAAAAAATAAAAAAAAACATCATTATTCCAAACATTTTACTGGTAGTGTTTGCTGATTTTTTTTAATAATGGTCTGGTTTCTACAACTTTCACTTTGGAGCAAAAATCTGGCTTTAAACTTGAAAGAAATAAAGATTTGACATTTATCGTGATAATTATCTATATTTTTGGCCATATCGCCCAGCCCTAGTAGTACAATAGTGGGTCAGTGTTGGGACATACAACCATGTCATAATGTCTCCTGATACCACAGATGTTTCGTTTTGTAATTTTTTTACATAATGCATTTCTTGGTTTACTTTTAAAATTTATTTTTCTTTCTTTTTTTATAGCCTCGTGTTCCTTATCACTTCTCTTCTATGGAAGAACTCAAAAAAGAGCAGTCACATCTCCTGTAGTGTTCAAAATACATAATTAGGGTCCTTGACTCTTTGTGTTGCCGGTGTGCGTTTGTATTTTACAGGACAACATGTTGTTCTGTGACTCCTGTGACCGAGGTTTCCACATGGAATGTTGTGACCCCCCACTGATGCGAATGCCAAAAGGTGAGTGCCCACACACTCAAATGCATGCCTATTCTACTTGGTGTAATCATAGGATTTGTCTTTAGGCACACTATTAATTATATATTTTGTTGATGCATTCATTTACACAAGAATTAGTTTTCTGTTCAATTATAGTTATGATTAATGATTCTTGATTGCTGTTCTGCAGGCATGTGGATCTGTCAGATCTGTCGGCCAAGAAAAAAGGGAAGAAAGCTCTTACATGAAAAAGCAGCACAAATTAAGCGGCGATATAATGCACCACTGGGGCGGCCAAAGGGCAGGTATTATAAACCGTTTGGTTCTGTTTATGACCACGTTTGCAGAACTCTGTTGAAATTATTTGCACAAGTTTTGCAAGAGACTACTTCAAGTTCTTTTGTCCTCAGACCGGGCCGTCCCTTTAAGAAGCTTCGAGGTGGTGGGCATGGCAGGAGAAGGCGGGGTGCCGGAGGCGTGGACCAGCGCTCACAAGGCTCCTCCTCCCCACACTCTTCCTCCAGTTCCTCATGCGAAGGTTACCCTGGCGACGATCGCATGCTTTTCTCTCTCAGAGAAGATGATTCTGTGCATGGTGGCCTGCGTTTTAACAAGAAAACAAAAGGCCTAATCGACGCCCTAAGCAAGTTCTTTACGCCATCCCCGGACGGGCGGAAAGCCCGTGCTGAAGTGGTGGACTATTCCCAGCAATATCGTATACGCAAGAAGGGCAACCGCAAGGGCGAGCACGATGACACGACCGGAGGTGAGATCAGTAGCCCCTCACTGCAGAACACAAGATCCAGGGGGCGTGGTTGGATCCACATCTAGGGGGTGGAGATTGGTAGGTTTAGGGTTGGAGATGGGTGGGTTTAGGGATCAGGGGGTGGAGACGGGTAGGTTTAGGTATATGTAAGGTGGGAGGAGTTGGATCTGGATCCACCCACGCCCCCTGGATCTTGTGTTCTGCAGTGAGGACCATCTCGGTGAGATGGGTCAAAAGATAAATCTAAACTGTTTAGCAGCTATTTTGTTATGTATTAGGTGATCTATGCTTGGATGATATGGATAGTAAATACACTGAACAGTGGCCATTTCTCTTAATGTCACGTGTGTGGTAAGATTAAAATTGAAAGGTAGTTTTTGGCGTAATGTTGTGCTGACAGTTTGACGTGACAGGTGATGTACACTACTGTTCACAAACTTGAAGTTTGTAAGATGTTTTTGAAAGAAGTCTCTAAGGCTCACCAATGCTCCTGTGATCCAAAGCTGATTTTTTTCAAGCTTCTTATCAATGTTGCTGCTTAATATTTTTGTGGAAACCATGATATTTGATTTTCGGGATTCTTCAGTAAATAGAAAGTTCAAAAGAACAGCATTTATTTGAAATAGAATAGCTTTACTGTCATTTGAAATTTGAAGACAGAATAATTGGAAACTTGTCACACTGCGCCTGAGTAGGACACAGTGCAAAATGAAAAATACAAATTAAACGAGAATGTGCTGTCTCTCTTATTAGTGTTTTTGCTCTGTACCTTCAGTTTTGTGCTCCCACTCACTCTTTGGCCATTTTAACTGTCTTGGTATCTTTTTGAATCACAGACAATCAGGAGTGTGAAGACAGCTGGCGGGAGGATGAAGACAAACTGCCAGGACATGAGAACCTAACTGAGAAAGACGTGGAGCTCTTCAGACACATTCAGGAACTGGCACTACAGGTACAGAAAGGGAAGGGGAAACGTTACATTTTGCCATACAAATGCAAATTAATTTGATTTTGTTAAATGTCCCATCTGAATTTGATTCATAAATAAGCCGGAAAAAATGTCTTTCTCCATTTGCTGAGAAACATGCTCCTTTATGGGCTGTGTTTGGGAAAGACACTTGTGCTTCAGTTAAGTTTTTTAAAATGAGAATGAACAGAATGAAACCGTTATTAAATGTAATAAATGCATTAACAACATAAAAATTCAGTGTAAACTTTCACGGCTATAAACTAGTTCTGTCAAATGATTAATTGCGATTAATCGCATCCAAAATAAAAGTTTGTTTACGTAATGTTTGTGTGTACTGTGTATATTTATTATGTATATATAAATACACAAACATTCATGTATATATTTTAAAAATATTTACATGTATATATATTTATACATAAACAAAACATATTTTTCTTAAATATATACATGGATGTGTGTGTATTTATATATACATAATAAATATACACAGTACACACAAACATTACGTAAACAAACTTTTATTTTGGATGCGATTAATCGCAATTAATCATTTGACAGAACTAGTTTATAGCCGTGAAAGTTTACACTGAATTTTTATGTTGTTAATGCATTTATTACATTTAATAACGGTTTCATTCTGTTCATTCTCATTTTAAAAAAATCTGGATCCAACCACGCCCCCTGGATCTTGTGTTCTGCAGTGAGGACCATCTCGGTGAGATGGGTCAAAAGATAAATCTAAACTGTTTAGCAGCTATTTTGTTATGTATTAGGTGATCTATGCTTGGATGATATGGATAGTAAATACACTGAACAGTGGCCATTTCTCTTAATGTCACGTGTGTGGTAAGATTAAAATTGAAAGGTAGTTTTTGGCGTAATGTTGTGCTGACAGTTTGACGTGACAGGTGATGTACACTACTGTTCACAAACTTGAAGTTTGTAAGATGTTTTTGAAAGAAGTCTCTAAGGCTCACCAATGCTCCTGTGATCCAAAGCTGATTTTTTTCAAGCTTCTTATCAATGTTGCTGCTTAATATTTTTGTGGAAACCATGATATTTGATTTTCGGGATTCTTCAGTAAATAGAAAGTTCAAAAGAACAGCATTTATTTGAAATAGAATAGCTTTTCTGTCATTTGAAATTTGAAGACAGAATAATTGGAAACTTGTCACACTGCGCCTGAGTAGGACACAGTGCAAAATGAAAAATGCAAATTAAACGTGAATGTGCTGTCTCTCTTATTAGTGTTTTTGCTCTGTACCTTCAGTTTTGTGCTCCCACTCACTCTTTGGCCATTTTAACTGTCTTGGTATCTTTTTGAATCACAGACAATCAGGAGTGTGAAGACAGCTGGCGGGAGGATGAAGACAAACTGCCAGGACATGAGAACCTAACTGAGAAAGACGTGGAGCTCTTCAGACACATTCAGGAACTGGCACTACAGGTACAGAAAGGGAAGGGGAAACGTTACATTTTGCCATACAAATGCAAATTAATTTGATTTTGTTAAATGTCCCATCTGAATTTGATTCATAAATAAGCCGGAAAAAATGTCTTTCTCCATTTGCTGAGAAACATGCTCCTTTATGGGCTGTGTTTGGGAAAGACACTTGTGCTTCAGTTAAGTTTTTTAAAATGAGAATGAACAGAATGAAACCGTTATTAAATGTAATAAATGCATTAACAACATAAAAATTCAGTGTAAACTTTCACGGCTATAAACTAGTTCTGTCAAATGATTAATTGCGATTAATCGCATCCAAAATAAAAGTTTGTTTACGTAATGTTTGTGTGTACTGTGTATATTTATTATGTATATATAAATACACACACATCCATGTATATATTTAAGAAAAATATGTTTTGTTTATGTATAAATATATATACATGTAAATATTTTTAAAATATATACATGAATGTTTGTGTATTTATATAAAATGAGAATGAACAGAATGAAACCGTTATTAAATGTAATAAATGCATTAACAACATAAAAATTCAGTGTAAACTTTCACGGCTATAAACTAGTTCTGTCAAATGATTAATTGCGATTAATCGCATCCAAAATAAAAGTTTTTGTTTACATAATATGTGTGTGTACTGTGATTATTTATTACGTGTATGTAAATACACACATACATGTATAAAGGAAAATGTATATATAAAATATTTATATGTAATATAAATATATGCATGTAAATATTTTCTAAATGTACACTGAATGTTTGTGTATTTATATATACATAATAAATATACACAGTACAAACATTTATTATGCAAACAAAAACGTTTATTTTGGATGCGATTAATTGCGATTAATCTTTTGACAGCACTACTATGAGCATAACATAATATAAACAAACTGAATCCTTCTGTCGATAAATTGTATGCTTGATAGTAGGGATGCCTATTGTTTGTTTGCAGTCACTGATTCTCTTTTGCTATATTAGCAAAGACTTGGAAGCTGTGAAGGCCTTTATCTCTGCAGAATGTAATGTGAGGGATTTGAGAGTTTCCATTATCTTGACAGCTGGTGCCTCTCTCAGTGATACAAACACAAATGCACATGTGTAGACTGATTGGCTGATTGGTGTATGTGTATGTGTGTGTGTGTGTGATTTCAAGCTCCCAGCAGTAGCAGCCACTCTCTGAATGCCTGAGGCCATAAGTCGAAGAAAAACACTCATTAACACAGAGAGAGACAATCATATTCACATACACCATCAGACAGATCCAACATGCTTTTGTTGAGCAGCCAGAAAGGAAGAATACCATGCTGTATTAACTGAATGTGTGTGCTCTGTAACATTTAGGACATGTACACACTGCAAAGTTTAGAGAGTGATAGCTGCATTTAAATGTGGGATTGAATCACCCTAAATTATTGTTCTGTATGTGTACAGAAATATAAGAGTCATTCCTGAACTTGAGGTGGTTGGCAGTTTAGCGATACAATTTTCTTTTAGCAAGCACAACCAGATGTAGCATGAACATGGATCTCCTTGGATTTTCGCTGTATGAAAAGCTTTGTTTTTCACGGGAAAAGGTCAGACAAGCGAGATGTAGATGACATAATTTCAGTTTGCTCAACAAAATGTAAATATTTGAATGTGTAATTTCTACTATAGCACTTCAGACAAATTTATGAAATGTATTTATTAAAAATTTATTTAAACTTAATTTCATAATTAAAAAAATAAGTGATAGCTCAAAAATCTCAAGTGTATACAATGTATACAATCTTTATGATTTTCTTTAGGTTGAATAATGCCACTAATAATTAAACATTTTCCAGATGTTGTCTCAATTACTGAAGAGAGGACCGTTATTACTGTTATTAACTGACTGATGGTTCAGCACAAGCCGTTTCACCTCTGCTTTGCATATGTGTGAGATGCAGAGCAGAGAAGTGTGTGATCACTACTGAGTGTCAGCAGGCTGGCAAGTGGCAGATGCTCTGAATTTCCACTTGGGCTGCGGATAAGAGCTAATAATAATCCTGTAAGCTTGGGTGTGGAGCTGTATGCTTGTGAGAAACTGATTATTATATTTCTTGTGTAAAAGAGAGCGACTGTTTCTTTTGTGTGTGGCAGTATGCTCTGGGAAAAGGGCATAGTGGCCTAATAGTATCTGAACTCCTATATTTTTTTTATTTTATTTATTTCAACTCCTATAGAAAGTCGGGGTGACTGGTCCACCGGACCCCCAGATGCGCTGCCCATCTGTTATAGAGTTTGGGAAGTATGAAATTCAGACGTGGTACTCTTCTCCATACCCACAGGAGTACAGCAGGTAACCAACAGCATGTGTCATAATCATCCTCAAAATTTTGACATTTGTTCATAACAAAAAAGTGGACGAGGCACATTTTATAATTTTCAATATATATATTTTTAATATTGCAATACTTGCATAATTTAACTTGGTAGTTATTGTTAAAGGGGTCATGTGTCAAACTAGCTGTCAAACATCTTAACCTCTTACTGTTTTTGTTATTTAAATGCTCTCACAAGAGGGATGTGCTTAAGCATTTTTAGGCTGTAAATTCTGATGTTTGATTGTTTCGTTGTGACAGGCTCCCTAAGCTCTACCTCTGTGAGTTCTGTCTGCGCTACATGAAGAGCCGCAGCATTCTCTACCAGCACATGCGAAAGTGCAACTGGTTTCACCCGCCTGCCAACGAGATCTACAGGAAGGACGACGTGTCCGTGTTCGAGGTGAGGAAAAGAAATCTCCGCCCAGATAAAAAACACAAATACACAAAGACGCTCGCACACAGACACTCGCACACACACACACTCGTCTTTGTTTATACACACTTGGCAGCAGAGACATAAGCTCGTCGACACTCTAGTCATGCACACGCAAATGTGTGTTTTCATACATGCTGTGCCAACAAAGGAAATCTCATTCACACTGATATGTGCGCACACTCCCACACTTGCTCAGGCAATAACATCCGCCCACTTCCTGCCCTCACAAGGTGTTGTAATGATGCCGCACAGCAGGGTGATAAATGAAGAACGGTAAGCTCTCATTGCTTCAGAATCACTTTGGTGATTTACTACATCCTTTGTGTTTCTATGAAAGAACATTTAGGTGTAACCATGACATGAAGATCTGAATCGGTGTGGTCAACGCTGCCAGACCATATTTTACTGAGATTACATAGTCACGTTCACACATTCAGAGTTTGGAGATTTACAACCATATTTTTCTCGAATTCTCCAGTACAGAAAACAGTTTACAGGACCATCCTGCCTACTATTTATATGAACGAATAACTCTTTTCTAGCCACTTTTTCAAGGTTCCTGTGGGTCCATAAAATATTTTAAATTCAGTTTGATCCAATTTCATAAGGACTCTTAAAAAGTATACATGTGATTTGATCTAATGTGATCGTTAAACTTCAAAAGGCTTTGATTTGATTAAATATGAGCGTTGTACGTTTGAAATAAAAATGGGATACTGTTGGCTTGCAGTTTCAGAGCACTTCGCAAACCAATGAATAGTGTGCATTTATGCCAAGTGATTGCAGTTTTTGCCATTTCTATTGTGGTATATTATAGATAGATAGTTGTAAGAGTGCTTATTTATCTCATCTTTTTGATTGAGCAGCTGTGAGTAGAAACAGACATTTACATATATTTGTTTAGTAGACACTTTATATCCAAATCGACTTACAAATTAAGGAATGCAACAAGTGATTTGTCTTAAAGAGACCTGTGGTGGCAACACTGCTGAAAGCTAACACTGTTGGCGTTCAGCTGATAGGAAAAGCAGGAGCCTTGCAATTTACCACAGCCTCTGTTCCTGTGGAGCGAGTTCCATGCCAGTCTCTACTGCACAATTTCTTTCAAAATGTTCATTTAGTATTTAGAAATTAAGAGTCTTATAGGCATTACATTTTGCAAATATGAATAATGAATTGGAGTTGATTGTAAAGCGTAACTGTATCTGAATCCTAGAAAATTCACTTAACATTGTCGCTTAATTGCATAATGTCTGGTCAGGACACAGTATGTCAACCAAAGGCTGAAAAACATCTTTTCTACACTCCAGGTGGATGGAAATGTCAGCACAATATACTGTCAGAATCTGTGCCTGCTGGCCAAGCTCTTTCTGGACCATAAGACTCTGTACTATGATGTGGAGCCCTTCCTCTTCTATGTGCTCACACAGAATGACAGTAAGGGCTGCCATCTCGTAGGATACTTTTCAAAGGTGAGCTAATCATTTCACAAACCTTTTTGAGTTACTTTTAAGTGCACTGAAGTCAGATGACAATGTTGAGCAATTTGGGTTTATTAATGCTATTTTTGCACATTTTTTTCTGCTTTTGTGGCTTGCTTACAGTAGATGGTTGGTTTGATTCTTTATGGGTTGATTATACTCCTGGAAAAGATGTTTACAGTGAATCATATTATTATTATTATTATTATAATTTTTTAATTAACAGGTTTTTGCTTATTTTGAGGGTGAATTGAGGATGCTGTTTATGCACTCGGTTTAAATAATTTTAAGAGCCATATTCACAACTGTGTATGTTTCAGCATGTGTTCTGTATGGTTATTATTTGCATTTTTAAACAGAATAATAAGAATATTTCGTGGCACATATATAGAAATGTGTTTGTTAAATTTTTCTTTAATTTTACAATTTTTTGTGCTTTTTTTCCCTTTTTTTCATCTCCAGGAGAAGCATTGTCAACAAAAGTATAATGTATCCTGCATCATGATTCTTCCACAATATCAGCGCAAGGGCTATGGACGATTCCTCATTGACTTCAGTAAGCACTCTGCATTATCTTTCCTCTGTTCCCCCAGTCTGTGAATTTTATTTATTTATTTATTTTATTTTTTTTAAGTAAAGAAACTATTTGAGAATTATACTCCTTCAGATAATGTCATTAGACACCGAGGATAAACTGTTGTGACTCTCTCTGCAGGTTACCTGCTGTCCAAGAGGGAAGGCCAGCCGGGCTCACCAGAGAAGCCATTGTCAGACCTTGGCCGGCTATCCTACATGGCATATTGGCGTAGTGTGGTGCTGGAGTGCCTACATGAGATCAGAGATCGACAGCTCACCATCCGCAAACTCAGCAAAATCACTGGCATTTGCCCTCAAGATATCACGGCCACTCTGCTTAATTTGAATATGCTGGAACAGAGAGGGGACCGGTAAGTGAGATGGCTGATTTTCATTGATTATACATGGTAGCATAGCAAGGATGCACTACATTGATCAAAAGCGACTGTAAAGACGTGTGTTAAAAGAGTTCTATTTCAAATAAATACTGTTCTTTTTTTAACTTTATATTTTACAAAAATAAAAATGTTTCTTGAGCACTAAATCAGCACATTAGAATGATTTGTGAAGGATCATGTGATGCTGAAGACTCGAGTAATGGCTGCTAAAAAGTTCACTATATTCACAGATATATTAAAGTAGACAATTTAAAGTTATTTTAAATTGTAATATTACTTACCCCAAACTTTTAAATGGTATTGTATATTTGTTATATTTTTAGCAGTCTGTATAGTTTCCTGATCTTTGGTTTTCCTTTCTTGTTATAGGGTGATTATCCTGCGAAGAGAGAAGCTGGTGTCTTCTCACATGGCCCGACTGAAGGCCAAACCACGGCTGCTAGAAGTCGATCCAGACTGCTTGCGTTGGACACCTGTTATCATCACCAACACCGTAGTATCTGAAGGAGAAGGGGATGAGGATGAGGAAGAGGAAGAAGGAGAGGAGGGACCTAAAGATGTAAGCATCTTATCATGTATTCAAGGTTCAGTAGATGAAGTATGCAGCATTTAGTATGTGTACCAGTACATACTGAAGCTGAACTTCTGTTCTATGCGTCTTGTCTCTTTTATAGATCAAACCCAGCCACAAGAGCTCCCCACTCTCTTGGCATATGAAAGGAGAACGGGAAAAGGAGGAAGAGAAAAAGGGCTTCCCAGCATTCCCAAAAAAACAAAGCTCTCCTCCATCCTCTTCTGTTTGCAACAGTGTTCTCGGTCCTGAACATTCTTCCCTTTTTCTTATGGCTAATGGGGAACGCAGGGGACCTGGACGCCCTCCCAAAAACTGGTTATGGGGCAAGGTGAAGGATGCACCACGTACAGGACCAGGTCGACCCCGTAAACTAAGGCCCCCAGATGATGATGATGATGAGGAGGAGGAGGAGGAGGAAGAGGAGGAGGATGATGAGGAGGATGAAAGAACTGGCATTAATAAAGTGACAACATCACCAATGCTCTTGGCCTTAGAAAATGAGCCTGACTCCACATCAGCCTGTCCCTTGGAAGCTTCCAGGCACCCCGCAGTTCCGCCATCACGCAGCAGAGGACGGCCTCCACGGAAAAAGCGTGGCCCAAAACGCAGGCTTAGTGAGAAGCCTGAAGATGACCTGCCGTCGTTGCCCCACACCACAAGGCTGAGTGAACCCATGCCAGCCTTTATCAGTGAGAGCAGTGAAGATGAGGATGAAGATGATGAGGAAGAGTTAAGGGCTCGTTCACCACCTGTCCTCACCAAGCCCACATTAGGGCTTAAATGCAAGGTATGTGCAATATATTTTCATGTATGTTTTTTTTCTTTCTTTTGCATGACACATTTTTTTATATAGATCTTGAAAATAAGTAGTAACAATTAGTAGTTTGAGTGTAATACCAAAAGGCTTTTTTTCAAATAAAGGCTAGTAAGATCTGGAAATAAAAATGTTGTGGATTATTCTAGAATTTTCTTTGCTTTCCTCCCCTTGTAGTCTCAGAAGTCCTTGCGAAAGCGGCGTGCACGTCAGCGCAGCCATCCCCACAGCAGTGTAGTTACAGAGACCATCTCAGAGACGACTGAAGTTCTGGATGAGCCATTTGTGGATTCAGATTCTGAAAGGCCCATGCCCAGACTAGAAGAGGAAACTCCATTTGGCAACCCTCTCAGATGCTACCCAGCAGCCCGCAAACACATGGGACTTGCCCCAAAAAGCATCAACAGAGGCAATCTGACTGAATCGGAGGAAGATGGTTAGTATTTCTGTGGTTTTATATGAGCAATCTTGAAAGTTTTGTGTGATGTTAATATTTGCAATAGTGTGATTTCAAAAATTGCTTAAAAGATGGTTACCTCATTTCTGTTTAGATCCCACTCCTGTGTTGAAGCCAGTTGCTGTCCTGAGAAGACCTGAACCTTCAGAGGCCACACAGAGAACAGGGGCAACAGCCGAGATGCCTGAGGTTCCAGTAAAAAGGAAAAAAGGCTGGCCTAAGGGCAAGAGTCGCAAACCACTCCACTGGAAGAAGCGTGCAGGCAGGAAGCCTGGTAGTGGAGCCGGTCAGACAGGTGACACCAGTCTGGCAGATCCATCCTCAGAGGACCCACCACCCCCAAAGATCAAAATGAAGCCTGGCAGGAAACCTCGTAGCTATTACCTGCAGCGGGCCCAAGAGGAAGCAGCCAAACAGGAGTTTGAGGGAAGCCGATTAGCTCCGCAGCAGCTAGACAATTCAACATTGGAGGACAAAACCTGTAAAAGGACAGCAAGAGCCTTAACATCTGACCTCAGCCCTGAGAAACAGAACGACTCGGAAGAGGAAGATGATTTCCTTCAGGACTTTAGAGAGCCATCCAAACCCAAAAGGCGAGGTCGACCTCCAAAAAATGGCAACCTCCCTCCCCCTGTACCCAAACCTCCCCCTGTGTCTGAGCCAGAAGAAGAAGATGAGGAGGAAGACAGACCATGGTCAGTTGAGAAGATCAGCCGTCCGCCTTCTCGTACCATGTCGCAGTCTTCCAGCACCAGAGTCTCTCAGCCAAGAGCTAACACAGACATGGCAGATGCAGAGGAGGACGAAGAGGGGGATGTTGAAGATTGCAATAATGGGGTTAATCGGAGAACAGCACCGACACCAGGCTCAGGAAGCCGGCGTAGTGATGATCATGATGCCGACGACGAAGGGGATGGCCGTCTTGAAGAGAAAAGTGACAGCAGCAGTAGCACTAAAAGGAGAAAGGGCCCAGATTCAGAGGATGATGTGGAGCAAGAGGATGAAGAGGAGGAACCATCATCACCTGCTCGCTCTCCCCCTGTGAAAGAAGAACCCCAGAACAGTGAGGGTTTTTTAGACTTACAGGCAAACATGGCACGAGATTATGTCAGCAAACAGGAAGAAGCTGAGGACGAGAAGGAGGATGCAGAGGAAGTGCAGGAGGTGAAGACTAGCTCTGCTGACACGGAAGAACGGCGACGACGAGAACAGGAGGAATCTGCAGCGGCTGCGGCAGCTGTAGAGACAGTAACCGCTATCGCAGTGCCCTCTGAACCACTGGACATGCAGCCTTTACACATAGAGGAAAAGACTGTGCTCATGTTGGGGGCTGAGCATTCACACCAGCATCCTGACTTCAAAGATGACCTGAGCCACCAGCAACACACGCATCACCACAGTAGTGAGCTGGATCTAGAAACAGTGCAAGCTGTCCAGTCACTTACGCAAGGAGAAGCCCAGGAGGAGGATTCAGAGTCCCATGGAGCCTACCAGGATTGCGAAGAGACGCTGGCTGCCTGCCGAACCCTCCAGAGCTACAGTCACGGTGAGGGAGAGGAGGAAACACTAGCGCTGGTGGAAGATTGTGGAGCCTCCCAGCACAGTCCCATGCCCAACCCACCGATGCCTTCGTTACCGAACCAGTCTGTCCGTTCAGTCAACAGTCCTGGAATGACTCCTGGTCCTATGGACCCTGGACCAGGAGTGCCTGGTCCCACGGGAACTGGAGGGGCAACAGGTGGAGGCTATACTCAGATAACCCCTGAGCATCCCAGCTCTCTATCAGCTCCCTCATTGCAAAACATGGAGACCTCTCCCATGATGGATGTGCCATCTGTTTCTGATCATTCACAACAAGTGGTAGACAGTGGATTTAGTGACCTGGGCAGCATTGAAAGCACCACCGAAAACTATGACAATCCGAGCAGCTATGACTCAACAATGGGTGGTGGAGGTAACGGAGGAGGGAATGGAAGTAATGGGGGTGGCATGTCTGCAGCTGCGGCAGCAGCTGTAGCAGCTTCCTCCTCCTCGTCGTCTTCGTCCTCTAGTTCAGCCACACCTTCGTCATCATCTTCCCAAGGCAACAGCTGCTCCTTCGTCTCAACTCCTGGGCTGACGTCCTCCAGCACAGGCGTTGGCTCTCAGATTGCCATGGGTAGCTGTAGCCTTATCCAGCAAGCAGGTCCAGGACCAACCAATGGACCTGGTGCTAACAGCGGTAGTAGCGTCCCACAACCTCCTCCCCCACCTCCTCCCCCTCCAAGTAGCACTCCAAGTTGCGGTATAAAGTCTCCGCAAGGCTGCGTCATCGAAAGGCCGCCAAGTGCCAGCCAACAGCAACAGAAGAAGGTCTCTCAACCGACTCAACAACAGCAAAACCCTCAACCGCAGCCTCCACCCTCTGCTCCACCACTCCCTCCACCTCAACAAGCAGCACTCTCGCAGTGCAGTATGGGAAATGGCTTCGCTTCCACACCCATGATCATGGAGATTCCTGAAAGTGCAGGCAGCGGTGGAGGAGGCCGGAGTTTGTATGACCGCATGGGTCAGGATTTTGGCGCTGGTGGCTATGGACAACACTCTGCTTCTTTCAGTTTAGCCAAACTCAACAGCAACAGAAGAAGGTCTCTCAACCGACTCAACAACAGCAAAACCCTCAACCGCAGCCTCCACCCTCTGCTCCACCACTCCCTCCACCTCAACAAGCAGCACTCTCGCAGTGCAGTATGGGAAATGGCTTCGCTTCCACACCCATGATCATGGAGATTCCTGAAAGTGCAGGCAGCGGTGGAGGAGGCCGGAGTTTGTATGACCGCATGGGACAAGACTTCGGCGCCGGCGGTTACAGTCAACACTCTGCTTCTTTCAGTTTAGCCAAACTCCAGCAGCTAACCAACACCATCATGGACCCCCACGCCATGTCTTATTCACATTCAGCAGCAGTCACCTCATACGCGACGAGTGTTTCGCTCTCCAACCCAGGCTTAGCGCAGCTTGCTTCTTCCCCACACCCACCGTTGCCCCAGGCTCAGCCCACTATGACCCCACCTCCTAATTTGAGTTCTGGCTCCATGAATCTTGGTTCCCCCTTGATCCAGTGCAACATGACAGGCGCTAATATCGGACTACCTCCCCCTCCCCATTCACAGCGGTTGCAAGGCCAAATGGCCACAGTCAAAGGCCACATTTCAATTCGGTCCAAAGCCTCTCAAATTCCTACGGGCTCCCCTCACCAGCAGCAATTGTACAGTCGCAGCTCTGGTGCTGTGACCATGCAAGGCACCCCACGCACTCTAGCGGTGCAACGTGGCATGATGACAAACCTCATGCCCACACCTGCCGCCTATAACTCCATGAACATGAATCCACTCAATGCTGCCATGTCAGCTGGCTACCGCATGCCGCAGCCCATGATGAACAGCGGGTACCATAGTAACCCGCCCTATATGAACCAGCCGGCCCAGTACCCCATGCAGATGCAAATGGGCATGATGGGAGGGCAGGCTTACCCACAGCAGCCTATGCAGCCCAATCACCATGGCAACATGATGTACACGGGCCCCTCGCACCACAGCTACGCTGGCGTCCCCAAACAGTCGCCTTACATGAGCAGATGAGCACCAGAGAACGAGCAGAGAGAGACGTTCCCCACCGGACTCTGCATCTCTGTACTTTTTCCATTTGTATCCACCCTCCAAAGTCTGCGCAAAAAGGCAACAAGATAAGTGAGCTTGGTGGAAGAAGAGGACATAGCGACGGTGACGATTTCCTTTCCTTGCTAAATATGTTGTCGTCAAGCTCTGTTCCTTTTAGGTTCATTTCCCAGTTGCCTGAGCTGGGGAGATGGTCTGATCACGGGAGATGATCTAATGGACCTTTATTGTGGCAAGTGTCATGCTCCCACAGACCCTGTCTGCCGTGGTTGTACCAACAGGGGTTGGACCACCGAAATGTCCGCCACTCCATCCGTGAGACAGAAGGGGGCGAAGCATCAAAGCAGCTAAAGGGGAAGTGGACCTAACTTTTCAAACTGAGAAACAAATACATTTACGTTGTTATTGAACATACATTGAATCATGCACACAATCGTTCAATTGACATAGGAAGCCTTACCTAAATAGAGACAAAATAATTGTAGATGGACTATTTTTTTCTTTTTTTATTATATTATTATTATTATTTACTTTATTTTTAATATGTTCTCTTTTTTTTCAATGACTGTTGAAATGCTTGTGTTTCAGTCTGACCTTCTCATGCTTTGTGTGTGTGTGTGTGTGTGTGTGTGTGTGTGTGTGGCTGTTCTGGACAAAGTGATTCACGCTCGTTCACTCATACACTCACTCATGAACACATTTACTCGCACAGAGCTCTATAGCCACTTGAGAGCTTACATGGAGGCACTTCTAGTTTGGACGCACAAGGCGTCCGAGGTAACTGTAAATCTGTGTCTTCCCAGTATGGAATCGTGTATATCCAAACGTAACAATTGTAAGAGCCCAAATGGACGTCTGATAATAATGACCATGCATCCATAGACCAGACTAAACAGAAGTCCTTTGAAACTAGTTAATGTAAATATTCTGGTACTACCTGGTTCACAGCACAGACTCAAAATCCAGTACACACACTTTCACGAACACTCCACAGCTGTCACTAGAGGGCAGCGCAGTCAATAGTGAGAAGGTCTTTAAGTTCATCAAAGTGCAGCGTCCACGTAATGTGGTGGGTAAAAAGGGTTTAACCACACAGGAGCACATCTGCAGAGCAGTTAGCATTGCAACTGTGCTCATCCAATGATGTTAATGATGCCTCCTAAAGTAGGCCTTACTGTGGCACCAGTAAGTAGCACTGCTCGTACTCCAGCTGACCATGCGGTAGTGATGTTAGCTGTTATCCACAAGAGGGAGTTGTACAAATAAGTAGATCCGTGTCTGCAATGCACACATGGACGAATGAACACTCATACCCGGGATAAAGGTTAAAGTGCATGATGTCCTGAGATGGTTACTGTTTTAGGACAATGGGAAGAGAATTTCTTAATGTTCCAGTATTCATTGTCAATATGAGGAATCTTTCTCAAATACCTGACGTTTCATATATTATTTGTGCGCTTTTGTTTTTCTGAATTTTATCAGACTGGGCAGCTTTCTTTTATGACAAGCTGACTCTTTTTGACTTTAGAAGACTTATTGTAGAGAAAATGTTTTTTCTAAAATATAAAAAAAAAAAGAAATTCTGACATGGATATTGGTACTGTCATTTTTTTCACTTCTGTTTCAGGAAAAAAACAATGCATATTTTTTAGCTGGACTCTTGGGGTAATATTATTAAGAAATTCAAAACTAAAAAAATTTACAACTCACTTTTAGTGAATTTAAGATGCCTTTAACCTTTCCATTCCATCTCATCTCTAGAGTTTTCTATCTTTGTGTAGTATATTAATGCTATTTTAAAACAAAAGGAAAAAACAGATATCTAAAGGTCACTTAGCGTTATTTTCTTTTTTCTTGGTTATTGTGTGTGTATAAGACAACTTCCTTACATCTACGAGGCATGTAAAAATGAGCTCAGTATATTTCTGTCTGTTTATATTGCTTACCTTTTCGTATACTTTGTAATTGTACATGGTGAGTTGTAAGCTAAGAGAGAGCCTGGTAGCCCGGAGAAAGAGAGAGAGCCAAGCTGGGGCGCTCGGTGATGGTCGGAAGCGTCCACCTTCCACTCCTCTCTGTTTTGTCCTTGTATGTATTTCCATTTATTTGTTTCTTTCTTTTTTCTTAGCAAGTACTTTCAAAGAACTCTGTACATTTTAACATGAAACAAAAATAAATTATGTTGAGCCATTTCACTTGTTATTGCATTTCTTGAAAAATCTCTAAAGTAATGTGTATTTTTTAAATGAATTCTCTCTTCTAAAAGTCATTCCACTCTATCATATCAAAGCCAGTGCATGGACAGGACAACTCTTTTAAACTGAACATTAACTTCAGTTTAACTGGAAAGACTAATTCTAGACATTCTATAAACATTAAAATTGTTGTATATGCTACTAAACTAACATTTAATTGACCCTGTGAGCTTCCATCAGATCATGTAATTTGTTCACATTTTGAAAACTAATCTTTACAATGCCCCTAATTTAGTCATAGGAGTCTTGTAAATGAGTAAAAACTGATCTCTTCTTTAAGTGTGATAGCTGAAAAAAGTTTTTTGAACAATTCGGTCATTACACAAAATAGATGGTTTTTCAATTTTAAAGTACATTTCTTGAAGATCCTGAACATTCTATCAGAAAATCTTTATAGTCAGGGTTCGACAATGAGGACTGTCCGATGGCCTGGGCCAGCATGAAAGATGCCCGGGACAATTTACAGAATTGTCAGTGTGATATGTTTATTAGTACTTATTTTATGAACCCTTCACTTGATGTTAATAATGATTAAACTTTGTATTTGTTAGGCTTATAATTTTTGCTGTGGTTTCGAAAGTGGAATCAAGAACTGTAAAATTTAACTGCCATCTAAAATGTCGGTGTCACAAGCTTATTTATTAGAATACTACATAATGTGGGTCAAAAACTATATTTTATTTATTTATTTATTTTGGCAGGGCCAGTGAAAATGTTGGTGGGGCAAGTAAAAAATTTGAACCAGTGTCCCGACTGGGCAGGTGGAAAAATTCAGTGTTTAGCCCTGAAAGTGTTAAACTGCATTGTATCTGTAGCTCAATTTAAAAACTGTACTATGCTATGATATAGCATTTGCATTTAAAAACAAAGTAACTGGGTTGACTGTTTTACAGTTTACTAGCCTTGTACACACGATCGTGACACTATGATGTATTAGAAATACAAAATTTTGTGCTGCTTTTTCTACAGATATCCAGTTTAATAATAGTTTATTACTGGATACAATTGTTGCATCCTTGTTGTGTATTTGGTGTAACAGAATATGTTGACATGCTTTAATGTTCAAAAAACATTATTTTTCAAATACTGTACATTATTGTAGGTCCTCTATGCCCCGCCTCCGCTTCGTTTTCTACAAAGCCCCCTCCTTTGACAAGTGCAGTCTGCAAATAATGATTATAAAATTATTGCTTTAGTTCTAGCAAAAAGATTGAAATATGTTTTGAACTCCATAATTGACGAAACACAATCAGGATTTATGCAGAAAAGGCACATTTCTAATAATATACGGTTAGTACTAGATACAGTGGGTACGGAAGCTTTTGACACATTGGAACACACATTTTTATTTCAGGCTCTACAAAAAATTGGCTTTGGCGATGCTTTTTGCAGGATGGTCCAAATGCTGTACATAAACGGAAACAGCTCTATCAAATTAAGTAATGGTACTTCACCTAGATTCTTTTTAAAACGAGGAGTTCGACAAGGATGTCCAGTTTCCCCTTACCTGTTCCTAATTGCAACACAGTTTCTTAGCACACATATCAACAAAAGTCAGTTAAAGGGTATCACAATTGGCAACACTAAAATAAAATAATAAAAATAGCAGACGATACAGCTTTATTCTTGAATGATTCATCACAAATTCCATTGGCTTTGGATATTCTTCAGTCTTTTTCTGAAGCTTCGGGATTAAATTGTAACTTTAACAAATGTGAATTGCTACCAATTAAAGATTGCTCTCTTACTTCAATTGAGGATATTGCTGTCAAAAATAGGGTAACTTATCTTGGTATATTAATTACTAAAGATGAATGTAGGTGCTCAGCAAACTTCAAACCTATTATTACCAAAACACAAAAAAACTGCAATTGCTGGTTACAAAGGGATCTGTCACTAAAAGGCAGAACGCTGCTTACTAAGGCAGAGGGTCTGTCTCGTTTGGCCTACGCAGCTCAGTCTCTTTTTGTGGATAAGCCCACGTCTAAATTAATTAATGAGGTTTTAACAAAATTCCTATGGAGAAATAAATCTCACTATTTGAGAAAATCAGTCATATTAAACACATATAATAATGGTGGTCTGAATTTTATTGATTTTGATTCCCTCAACAATACATTCAAAATTAATTGGCTGAACCAATATCTAACCAAACCATCCTCTATTTGGAATGTTTTTCCTCAACTTGTTTTTACACAACTTGGTGGCATTCACTTTCTCTTAATGTGTAATTATGATATACCCAAACTCCCTATCAAACTTTCCAACTTTCATCGACAGGTTCTCTTAGCATGGGCACTAATTTATAAGCATAACTTTTCACCACAAAGATGTTTTATTTGGAACAATAAGAACATTTTATTCAAGAATAAGTCTCTGTTTTATGATAGTTGGTTCAGTAATGGTTTATTATTCGTGGAACAGTTGTTTAATGAGCAAGGTCTTTTGTTCAGGTACTCAGAATTTCTTTCTAAATACCAAATACCAATAACGCCAAAAGAATTTGCTACAGTTTTGGGAGCTATCCCCTCTGGTTTATGTATGCTTTTTAAAAACTGTAATTACTTATCAGTATCTACTGCTTCCTTTCCTAAACCTTGTGATACTCCTGTTGGTAAAATTTGTTTCTCTGAGTCGAAAGCCAAAAATTATAAAATACGATCTTTATTTCTGACGATACAGCTTTATTCTTGAATGATTCGTCACAAATTCCATTGGCTTTGGATATTCTTCAGTCTTTTTCTGAAGCTTCGGGATTAAATTTAAACTTTAACAAATGCGAATTGCTACCAATTAAAGATTGCTCTCTTACTTCAATTGAGGATATTGCTGTCAAAAATAGGGTACACTGTAAAAAATTTACGGTAAAAAACCGGCAGCTGTGGTTACCGGAATTTTACCGTAAAAAACACAGTAGCAGCGTTTTAGGTTTTACGGTTTTAACTTAAATTTACAGTTAAATAACGTAATTTAATTTGAAATAATGTTAATATACCAACCTATTGAAGTACTGAAATCTGTTTTGTAATACACTGATAACCAACGAATGCAGGTGGTGATGAAAAAGTCACATGATGAACAAAAGCCCATCACAAACAGCTTTTACATAATAACATGTATAGAAGGTGCACAGTGTCATTCACATAGCAGAGTTTTATTTCTAAAACGAATCAAACTAATAAAAATAAACATAACTTACATACCCTTTCATTCAAAACTAAGCCATCGTTGCTTAAATAAAGTTTGAATACACTACTAGTTTAAAATCACAGTATAATATAATTTGTGTAAGCCTATGAAACACCTATATCTCGTAATTACAGTTTAATTTACATTAAATACTAGCTTTAATGACAGCCCCACTTTGCGCATGCGCATTGAAATCCAATACTGCGCATGCTCGTCAAACATCCAGCACGTATTGGCTCTGATCCAGCTACGTCATCGTGCTACAGGCTGCAGCGAGGACCTCAAACTCTCTCGAAACACAATCAGGATTTATGCAGAAAAGGCACATTTCTAATAATATACGGTTAGTACTATATATGTTAGATTATTCAGATTTAATAGACGGTGATGGTTTCATTTTCTTTTTAGATTATTACAAAGCTTTTGACACATTGGAACACACATTTTTATTTCAGGCTCTACAAAAAAATTGGCTTTGGCGATGCTTTTTGCAGGATGGTCCAAATGCTGTACATAAACGGAAACAGCTCTATCAAATTAAGTAATGGTACTTCACCTAGATTCTTTTTAAAACGAGGAGTTCGACAAGGATGTCCAGTTTCCCCTTACCTGTTCCTAATTGCAACACAGTTTCTTAGCACACATATCAACAATAGTCAGTTAAAGGGTATCACAATTGGCAACACTAAAATAAAAATTACTCAATTAGCGGACGATACAGCTTTATTCTTGAATGATTCGTCACAAATTCCATTGGCTTTGGATATTCTTCAGTCTTTTTCTGAAGCTTCGGGATTAAATTTAAACTTTAACAAATGCGAATTGCTACCAATTAAAGATTGCTCTCTTACTTCAATTGAGGATATTGCTGTCAAAAATAGGGTAACTTATCTTGGTATATTAATTACTAAAGATGAATGTAGGTGCTCAGCAAACTTCAAACCTATTATTACCAAAACACAAAAAAAATGCAATTGCTGGTTACAAAGGGATCTGTCACTAAAAGGCAGAACGCTACTTACTAAGGCAGAGGGCCTGTCTCGTTTGGCCTACGCAGCTCAGTCTCTTTTTGTGGATAAGCCCACGTCTAAATTAATTAATGAGGTTTCAACAAAATTCTTATGGAGAAATAAATCTCACTATTTGAGAAAATCAGTCATATTAAACGCATATAATAATGGTGGTCTGAATTTTATTGATTTTGATTCCCTCAACAATACATTCAAAATTAATTGGCTGAACCAATATCTAACCAAACCATCCTCTATTTGGAATGTTTTTCCTCAACTTGTTTTTACACAACTTGGTGGCATTCACTTTCTCTTAATGTGTAATTATGATATACCCAAACTCCCTATCAAACTTTCCAACTTTCATCGACAGGTTCTCTTAGCATGGGCACTAATTTATAAGCATAACTTTTCACCACAAAGATGTTTTATTTGGAACAATAAGAACATTTTATTCAAGAATAAGTCTCTGTTTTATGATAGTTGGTTCAGTAATGGTTTATTATTGGTGGAACAGTTGTTTAATGAGCAAGGTCTTTTGTTCAGGTACTCAGAATTTCTTTCCAAATACCAAATACCAATAACGCCAAAAGAATTTGCTACAGTTTTGGGAGCTATCCCCTCTGGTATGCTTTTTAAAAACTGTAATTACTTATCAGTATCTACTGCTTCCTTTCCTAAACCTTGTGATACTCCTGTTGGTCAAATTTGTTTCTCTGATTCGAAAGCCAAAAAT